CCGCGTCGAGCGGCCGTCTTGGGCTGAGGCGCGCCCGTCGCCGCCTCCGCCGCCGCCTCCCCCTTTCCTCCTCCTCCTCATCCTCCTCCCCGTCCTCCTCCTACTCCTCCTCCTCCTCGACATCTCCTCCTCCTTCTCCTCCTCCTCCTCCTCCTTCTCCTCCTCCTCCTCTCTCCCCCTCCTCTTCCTCCTCCTCCTCCTCCTCCTCCTCCTCTTCCTCCTCCTCCTTCTCCTTCTCAGAGTCCGCTAACCACTTAGTAAGTCCGCTAACCACTTAGTAAGTAAGCTAGCTAGCGGACTTACTATGTGGTTACTAAGTGGTTAGTAAGTGGTTACTGGGTGGTTACTAAGTGGCAGCTAAGTGGTTACTAAGTGGTTAGCAAGTGGTAGCTAGAGTGGGGACTTAGCGAGCTAACCTCTACTAGAGACTTAGCAAGGTTAGCCTCCAGCTATAAGTGGTTAGTATCTCCTACTAACCAGTTGTAGCTGGTTATACAACTTACATCCGACTTACAACACTTATAACCTACTTACAACTCACTTGTACGTACATACTAAATCCTCTAACCCCTTAGTATCCGCGCTAACCACCTAGCAGCCGCCGCGGCCATGCAAGTGTGGGACTTGGACTCACGTTCGGGCGCTGCCTAATCGAGCTCTGCCAGGGCGCCGGGGTCGCCAGCCGCGAGAGGATCACGGCCGAACGCGAACAGCCGACACAGCACGGCGGCGCATGGACCTCGCCCCGCCATGGCACGATAACGCCTACAGCAAGCGGCCGAATGCGGATTCCACTCCCCCGTGGCGCGAGAACGCCGACAATTGGCGGTCGTCTTGAAGCTGGAGCTCAGCCAACAGGCGAGGCTACAGCAGCTGGGGCCGCTGCGACCAGATTTGGAGTTGAGTGGAATAGAACGAGGGGCGCTCGCAGCTACGCTGCGAGTGCCCCCATTGACGCATCCGCGCAATGAACCGAGCGTCTCGGAGCGCTGCGAGCCAGGTGGCGGGCGGGCTGTTTGCCGGGCGCGGCGCGACGGGCCGCTATATATACATATAGAAGCACACTGCGGGGCGTTGACAGATCGTTGACGTCCACCCGCGCGAGTGGAGCTCGCCAGGGAGCTCGCGGGGTGGTCGATGTAGTCGCGCCCCCGCGCTGCCTCAGCATCGTTGTCCCGCCGCCGCCAGGCATCGCTGGCTTGCCGAACTTGTTTCGGCTTCGGTCGCGGAAAAGAAGGACGGTCCGCCTGCCGCGCGCGCGCGCCCTCCCGGGCGCCCTCCCCCGGCTGGCCGGCCCTCTTCCGATTGACTTTGGAGGTCGCAGAGGGGCGTAGTATCAAGGGGTGCGGCGCGAATCCTGAAAATGGCTATGTTACCAGCGATAGCTGCAAGTGCGTTGCATCCCCACGTCAACAACGTTGGCTTGACGCGGACCGCCTCAAGCAACGTCAGAGCTCTTAATTCCAGCTTCCCCAAACGACCGAAGGCTTATGCGAACGGCAACGCTACACCTGGTCCCGGACGCCCGATCATCAAGCGCGACATTTCGGAAATTCGGAATCGTGAGAAGCGCCAGTCCGGAATGTCCGTATCGCCCAAGACGTAGTTCCGGCAATTCCGTAGTTTAGGACAAATATTCTTTCAATACAAATTATAATTCCAGAAATTCCGAAACGACGTTCTGGAAATTCCAGAATCACAGAAATCAATTCCGGCAATTCCAGAATTTCCAAATTCGCGTGCCCCGCGATATGGCGTCATGGATTGTTTTTTGTCGCCGTTCAGATTGGACGGCGGTCGCTTGGGGATTTGGAATTTCTTCGACCGACTTTGTTTGAAGCGGTCGACGCGAAACCAGCATTGTTGAAATCGGGGTGCGTCGCATTCGCGGGTATCGCATATAACATCGCTATTCTCAGCATTGGCATCGCACCCCTTTTTTTTCATCCACGCCCACGACCTTAGTCATAGCTTAACGGCACATCTCCTTAAAACATGGCGGGAAGAAATACATCCCCAAATGGTCGCTTGGATCTGAGCATGGAACTACTACAGGAAGAAGGCCAGCATGAAGAACACGAAAACGTTTTGCCGTTTAATCGGGTTGCGTCAGCTCTTTTCCTGACGGAGAACTGGCAAAACATTCTGGTCGTCTTGTATGTATATATATGGTCGTCTTGGGACATGTTTAGTCGTCCTCGGACGCCTTCGTGGCGACGGCTGCATCCGCCGCGAAGAGCTAGCCAGCGTGCCCCCAGGAGAGCTCCAGGAATCGACGTTCGACCCCTGATGTGCGACTCCAAGGAGTGCCTGGATCGCCCCGGACGGCCGTCAGAGGCCCAAGGCCTGGCCCGGAAACCGCAGAGGATACATAGATCATGGGCAACGCCAGGTGATCGTCTTCTTATTCACTGTTTTGCCCATCGGCGCGGGCCCTCGCACTCCCCCCATGGAGTAGATTTTGGCTGTTTTTGGCGACTGTTTCAAGCAGGTGGAGACTCCCCCATCGGAGGCGTTGTTGCAAACAGTCGCAGTAAGCAGAGATGCCAGACCCGCCCCCCCGCCTTCCGACCAACACCGGAAAGCCGAGTAAGAAAACGTTCGCCAGGGGGGATAAACTCGGGGGGAGAGTCTGGCTATCAGGGAAGGGAGGCGGCTGGGTCTAGAGACCGCGGCGCTGCCGCGACAACCGACCCGTTCGCCCGCGACAAGGACTGAGGCCGCGGGTGACAGGAGTCGCGCGGGCGGTGCGGCCGCCGCGGCATGGCCAGGTGACGAAAACGGCCGTGGTCACCGAGCAGACTCGGCGAAGGGCTCCAAGAGGGGGTTCGTATCGTTCAGATGACACCCTTGCTGGTAAACTTCGTTCCGCTGGCAGTGGAAAAGGCCGGGGCAGGGCCAATGCAGGTGGCCGTGGTCTCGGAGATACGCGGGACGATTCGAGCGGATGGCGGGCCGACATTCGGGCCGACAGTCGGAGCTATACTTGGTTGCAGGACCGCGTTGGTCGTGACGACGGAACGTGGACTTCAGGGCGTAGCCGATGGGATGGCAGCTCTTGGCATGCGAGTTCGAGCGGAACCAGAGATGACAGCTCATGGCGTGCAGGTTCGGGTCGAGATTGGGAAGGCAGCTCGCGGTGAGCGAGGTCGAAAGGTGACCCTGGGGCCCGTGGGGGCTGGTTGCGCCCGCGGGCTCTGCCTAACGATTTTCTGGGCTGCGTCGAGCGACTGAGCCTCCACTTCTTCAGCAGGAAGAGAGAGGTACTACTCGGACGGGTGGCGCTGTAACAGCTTTTTGGGGGATTAGCGCCCCCTTGACGAGGTGTGTTGAAGACTGGCGCGAGGGGTGAGATTGCTCCGGGCCCGCCGCGGGGCGAGCCGTTGTTTTCTTCCCCTCTGTGCTCTGTGTCTACTTCGAGCTTATATGCGCGTGCCGGTGCACGCGCTCGCCTCAAGACAGTTGTGGAGGTGTGACGCAGCTGGCGTCTTCGGGGGGAGCGGTGCTCGCGCCTCTCCCTCTGTGCACGCGTAGCAGTATCCATTCCCACATCTACAGTCGGGGCCCTGAAGAAGGAGCCCTTTTGGTTGGGGAGGGGCTCCGCGTTCCTTAAGTGTTTCACAGCTTGCCTCAGGTGTTCCTGATGTTTTCGATCGGAAATCGAAGTTTAACTTGTGGAGCAAAGGGGCCTCGTTCCTTATTTAGGGTTCCTTCGGTCAACGCCCCGACTGTACTGCACGGGACACTTGCAGTTATGCAGTTCTGTTGGACGAAATTGTTAAGGGCCACCCTTCTACAAGATCTATACGGAGGGTCCCCAGGGTGAGAAGATCGGAGCAAGGGAAACGCTCATTCGTCAGGAAATGTCGGTTATCTGGCGACAGACACGATATTCAGCAATGCCAGGCAGCAACGCTAAGCAACGCCAGCCAACGCTATTCAATCATTCTAGGCTATGTCAAGCAACGCAACGCAACGCCAGGCCAAACAGGGCCGCGCCAACGCTAAGCATCGCCAGCCAGTACCAGAAGCCGTTCAACACATCCGAGCAAGGCAAAGAAACACCAAACAACCCTACACAATGCCAAGCAATGACAAATCATGTAAAGAAATGCCAAACAATTCTTTTGCACGGCAGTTGTTGCATTGTTCATAACGGGTTTGAAGCGCCTTGGAAGAAAGAAGACCCTTCATTGGGGTTGCGTCACATCCGTTAACGACGGATCGTGGCCTCGGGCTGGGTGGTGGTGGTCGCGGGTGAGTCATGGTAGAGGGAGGGGGGTTTACAAGATTACAAGTACCGACCAGGCAACACTCATCATCCGACCACTCCGCGCCAAGCGGCACGGCGGCGTATCTTTGCACCGGTTTCACTATCAATATTCGTTCAATTCTACAATTAAACAATCGATCTATCGAACTATCTTTCTATCGATTTGCCTACAGGAGACAACCACAGGACAACCATGTGGCGACAGCGGGAGAACCCAGGGCGCGCTTCGGGACAACCACAACACAATTGTGGGACAACCCCAGGCAGGCCACGTGACAACCACGGGACAACCACAGGTTTCAGCTTGATATTGTTTTGCCTTACCTGTACGCGCGGCACGAAACCAAACCGAAACTGGTTTCTTGGTCGGGGGTCGTTGTTTCATTTCGGTCTCACCTTCCTTTGGATTTCAGGACCTACCAGAAAAGACGTCACGGAGGTGAACGACGGCTTCGTTGCTCTCTTGGGAGCCGTATTAGCCGATTACAAGAAGCCGCCCAGGCTGCTGTCTCAGGATGGTCACCGGTCCAGGAGAGGGAAAGCAGGAATACGTGTGTTCATGCACTTAGGAAGATTGAGAGGTCGGAGGGCGGGAGAGACAGAGGAGGGGGGGGAGAGGGAGGAGGAGGAGGAGGAGGAGGAGGAGGAGGAGGAGGAGGAGGAGCAGGAAGGGGGGAGGGCGCGTATGCGGATATGTCTGCTGCTCGTGAACGGGGGGCGTCTGCAGCCGTTGGCCCCCGGGCAGGCGGACGGCGCCCTCGACGCCTCCTTCCAGAGCGTGGAGGACGCCGACCACAGGGCAGCGGTGGTGGCGGCGGGTGCCGAGGCCGCGTCGTCCGGGCGTCTCCGCCGCCGGTCATCCGTTTTTTAGTGGAACGCAAAAGCTTACATCAGCATAGGAATTCGGAGGTCCGCACGGACTTTTTTCCGCCCTGGCGCGCGGAGCGCGCCGGGGTCGCCGCCAGAGGCGCCGCGGGGGGTCTCTAGCGCCGATCCGAGAAATCCGCGCGGATCTCCGAGTTTCTCAGTTTATGCCAGTGTTTGCTCCGCTACGTTACCGGAAATGTCTGGCAACGCTCGGGACGAGCTGGTCGCGACCGAGCTCCAGCCTCCAGTCGCGGATTCGAGTAATGAGCGAGCCGCCGACGTCATCCAAACCTCCGTTGGGACCCCTACGCGCCGTCGCCTCGTTACCGAAATTCGACCCCCTCGTGGTCGCGACGGGAATTTCGCGCGCCCGAAGTCCGTTACCGAAAAATTATGGTCGCGAGTGGTCGGAGCAGTCTTTGCCAGCGTGGCCAGCCTACAGTGGAGACCCATGCCAAGAAACGCCCTACTTGCCTCCAGGGTGCCGCCCTGGGTTTCTTTGGTTTCGAGGGTTCTGCTGTGGAAAGCGCGACGTTCCCACCAAGAGTCAGTGGACGTCCTGGGGTCTCGGGGTTGGGTTTCTTGTGGACGGTTTCTTGTGGACTGGCCCCCACTGTGCCCTGCTGTAGGTGGGGCTGGTGTGCCGCCTCCTGCGGGCCTCTCGCGGCGCCCCTCCCGCCCGGGGAGGGATGGGGGGTGCGAGCTGGGATAGCCGGCTTGCCTCGAGGCACATATCAAAAGGCGGCACGAGCGAGGTCCGCGCGGACCTCCGAGAAGCCGTGCGGGCACGCTTGTCGAGCAGGGGATCGACTGCAGCATTGGTTTACCCCAGGCTGGATTTTTGACCGTCGAATCCACGAGACACGCGTATCATGGTCGTACATACGAACAGTATGCGTATTTTGTTGTAGAGTCGGGGAGCAAATCAATGTTGGTGTAAGTAAATGTTGTGGTCGAGGGCGCAGGCCTCAGGCCGAGAGGAGGCGGGAAAGTCGCTCGCGCAGAGCGCTCGGCGAGCCCCGCCCCGCCTTCCGCTCTCGCGCGGGCGGTCCTGTGCGCAAGATTTGGGGAGACTCCGTCGGCAGCAGCTCACGGGGGCCTTGTATGCCCTCGGAGTTCCGTCTCTAGCCTCGATTCACGCCTGGGAGTCGATGAGATCAGCGCACATTTGGCGTCGGCTGGCGTCGATTTGGCGTCGATGAGCGCCGACTTGGCGTCGACCAGCGTCGATTCGCAAGGGCCAGCAAGATGGTATGGGAGGCCCCCAGGAGTTGCCGCAGACTGGGGAGACCCCGCCCCTCCTCGGCGTGTCGCACGGGCCCCGCGCCGAGAGTGCCCGTGGTCGAGCGGGCTTCTCCTCTTGGAGACGGCACCTGCACTCCGGGGCACGGGTGCAGCCCGTGCCTGTGAACCCGAGAGCAGGAGGAAGCGGGTGGGAGTGTAGGAGCAGGATGAGCAAGTGAGGAGGAGGAGGAGGAGGAGGAGGAGGAGGAGGAGGAGGATCAAGAGCAGGAGGAGCTGGAGGAGCTGGAGGAGCTGGAGGACGAGGAGGAGGAGCTGGAGCTGGAGCTGGAGGAGGAGGAGCTGGAGGAGGAGGAGCTGGAGGAGGAGGAGGAGGAGGAGGAGGAGGAGGAGGAGGAGGAGGAGCGGGAGCTGGGCAGGGAGGAGCTGAGGATGAGGAGGAGGAGGAGGAGGAGGAGGAGGAGAAGAGGGAGGAGGAGGAGGGAGGAGAGGAGGAGGAGAGAGGAGGGGAGGAGGAGCTGGAGGAGGAGGAGCAGAGGAGGAGGAGGAGCTGGAGGAGGAGCTGGAGGAGGAGGAGGAGGAGGAGGAGGAGGAGGAGGAGGAGGAGGAGGAGGAGGAGGAGGAGGAGCGAGTCGCTGTGGCTCAAGCATCCTCGGGCGCACGCGGGCGACGGCCCGCGGGGGCCGCGAGCGAGCTCCCCGGCAGAAGATGGACAGGAGAGGTGCTCGCTCGCTCTCTCTTTCTCTCTCTCTCTGCCTCTGCCCCTTGAGCCGCCCGAGCCCACGAGCGCCCCCTCTGCGGCTCCGACCAGCGAGCGGCAGACGACCGCGGGAGCTTGGCGACGGCCGGGAGCCCGAGCCCCACGGCCGCCGCTGGACGGCGCGGCAGCGGGACCTGCGGGCGGCCGCGAGGCGCCGCCGCCGCCGCGGAGCGGCACGCGCGGGCCCAGGACGGCGAGGACGGCGAGGGGCGGGGGCCCGGCGAACATCGGGCGGCGGCAGCCGTGCGGCCCAGACCAGCTCGAGGCTCGCCGCCGCGCTTGCTGTCACGCGTGGGCGCGTGCATGGAGCCACTCCTCCTCCTCCTCCTCCTCCTCCTCCGCCTCCTCCTCATCCTCCTCCTCAAGCCTCCTCCTCCTCATCCTCCTCCACCTCCTACTTCTCCTCCTCCTCCTCCTCCTCCTCCTCCTCCTCCTCCTCCTCCTCCTCCTCCTCATCCTCCTTTACCCACTTCTTCTCCTCCTTCTTTTCCTCCTCCTTTTCCTCCGTCTCCTCCTGCGTTTCCTCCTCCTCCTCCTCCTCCTTTTCCTCCTCCTCGTCCTCCTCCTCCGTCTTGCACATGGCTGGCGTCGTCCAAGAGCGTCCAGTCGGCAGCGCCGCTTCCAGCGCTGTTGCTTCTTCAGGGTCGGGGCGGGCGACGCCCCCCGGCGGCGGCGGAGAGCGGTGGGCAGCGGGCGGCCAGCGGCTCTTTCTGTAGCAGCCCCGCCGCTCTCAGATTCGCCACCACGAGCCCCGACATCCGGCGCGTCGGGGGAATGGACGTCTTCGCGCTTCGCGCATCCCCGCCGGCCCGTTCAGAGCCCTGGCCCACGAGAGCCGACGGGAAAGAAGGGACAGAGGGACACACGCGCACGGCGGAACAGAGCCCTGACCGATCGCGGCCCGCCCCAGAGAACTTGCAGGAGGGGAGGGGAGGGTGCCCCTCCCCGAAGGGAAGAGGGTCTTGGGATGTGGAGAGGACGATATCGTGAGTCCACCTAAGCCCAAAGGGCTGGCGGGATTATGCGACAGTGTTTTGGCCGATCATGCCATCACGCGCACTTGCTCACACGCCCCATGCAGATGCGTGTCCCGATGACAGTCTTGCGGCGCTTGTACGTTCTGGTGTCCCTCTCATCTCCCTCTCGATGAAGTTCCACAGTCGGCACGACTCGCGTCTGCAAATCATCACTTGCGGGCAGTTACTTCAGAGGATCGGTGAATGCGTCACGGCTTGGGTCTTGCTAGAACCTCAGCGCGCGAAGCGCGCGCGTGGTTCTAGTTCTTTGTGAGACTCGCACGGTCGGGACGGACTTCTCTTCATATGTGGCGTCACTTGCAGCAATCGCCGGCGGCCTGAGTTTCACAAGCTGTCAGTGTTTGCCCGCCTTTGAGAAGCCACGGCCTGGGGTTGAGGAGCTTCAGGCCGCACGCTGACATTGCACAACGCGTCAACTCCATTATAGACGTTGCGCTGATTAGCGGACCTTGCGCTCAGTCAGCGATTTTCGGGGGGCCGCGCGGGCTGGCATGTGACCGACAGCTACTCTAGATGTTGCTCTGAAAACGCACATCAAGGGTAGCAGCGAGTACCGCCAGCCACGCTAAGAGGCCGCTTACAGCGGTAATGAGGGCCAGTCAGTATAGTTAGTGATAATGGTCATGATGGGGACGGCAATTGTGAGAATGACGGTGTCGGTGGCGATTATGATGACTATACTGATGCAGTTGGCGAGGATGTGGAACAAACAGTAGTCACGACGACGGTGAATGTGTGATGATGTTGTTCAGGATAACGATGGTCGTGGTAATCCGCCGTCTGGCCTACCCTCCCGATAACTCGGGCGTCCAACCCTCCCGAATCATCGAAGCTGCGGGCAGCCAGGGGTGACTGCAGATTCGCGCCTCGGGGGCCCACCCAGGTTGCCCCGGACAGCATTATCCCGGATCACTCGGGTATGCAAAATGGATACGGCGCGGCCCCTTTACCACGGCATAATATACCTCCTCTGTTTATACCCGCTATCGAGCAACCAGGCCTTATTCATATTTCTTCTGTCCGGGAACGCGCCCGGGGAAACACGCGCAGGTCTAGCCATTCGCAGACTTGTCCAGGTGCTGCCAGGTCATTCCGGAACGCGATGGGCAATGGCTTTGCGTAGACACCTCGGAAAAAGGGTTCCAGACACAGTCCGCATAATTGCAGCGACACCCCCAGCACGTCATCGACGTAACGAAGCCAGTACGCACCACATATATCGGTTGCATCACATCACGTAGATTGTGCCACATCAGCTGCATACCAGGTAGACTTTGCAGGCGCCAAGCGTATGTCCTACTTTGTCGCTGCAGCGACACCTCTTTGCAGCACAGCATGAAACCCTGCATGTTATTATGCTTTAATCCAGCCTGCCAATCGTAAAGGGGGCCACCTAACTGCACCTCCTCAAATACCCCAGCTTTTTCTTGCGCCACTTCTCTTTCCTCCGTCTCTGTTACGCTATACGCAGTCCGCCTTCCGCTCCCGTTTCCGATGCTCTGGTGGCACCTCTCTCCAGTTAGGGTTCGGGGTGACCCTACAACATTTGTATCAATAAGTTTGCTTCCGATTTACGTTATGCGGGAGCCAAAATACCAGACAGCACATTCTGTCGCAATTCTTCTGCTCCAGTCTCTACGTGAGACACCTACCCACGTATATGAGTTACTGCTGCGCAGCCCGCGCAAAGAGTACAGGTCACAGTGTTCTGGCAACAGTACCTAACCACGATGGAACACGCTTTTACATTCAATAGGCCAGCCTAAAAAGAAACAACTTGCGATACCTTTCATAAGACAGCTCTTGCTGGACCATCTGGGTTCGTGCCAGACCCGAGAAGAACACTGCGAAAAACACGGGGGTCTCAGTACCGATATGGTTCGGGGTACACCCAACACTCTGGGCGGCAACCCTGGAACTTCCACACCCTACTGCCATTATTTCAGCGCTGCATGGCAGCTCGCGCGACTCACCCTACACTGTTCCTTCTTACACCTTCATATCCTGGCTCTTCTTTCTCCACGTACGTCCGGGGCTATCCTACAAAACCCTGGGTCACTGCCCAAAGATCGCACGCTCGTTTTGCGGAGATTAGGGGTCAATCTTCAAAACCCTGTTGCTGCACCCAACGCACACTTGGGTCCCCAGATGGGCTGGCCCCATCTGGTGGTTTTTGTCGAGCCACAATCTCACAGTACGCACCCAGCTCCACTCTTACCTCGAGATGGGGTTTGCGGGCTAGGCGGGGGCGGCACTTACTGACGGGTGGAGGGGTGGTCGTAGGCAGCTCACACAATGTGCTTGCCACAGAGAGGCGATCGCTTACGCTGCGGCTCGTCCTGCGTCTTATGTGTTGCCCTTGCCATCCGAGGCGGCACAATCATTGAACGTATGGCTTTGTTCTTATTGGTTCAGTTCTTGATCAAGTGTGGTCCATTTTCACTGCGGTCTCTGCCGACCTCGAGGACTTGGCGGGCGCCTGCTCTTTCTACTCTGCTTTCCATTCCTGTTATTGTTTCATTGTCCGCGGCGCCTGCCAAGTATTTGTTGCGCCGAATCGTGTATTTCTCGTTCCCCTTCCCCACTTCCACCTCCTCCTCCTCCTGCTCCTCCTCCTCCTCCTTCTCCTCTTCCTCCTCTCCTCCTCCTCCTCCCCCTCCTCTTCCTCCTCTTCCGCCTCCTCCTCCTCATCCTCCTCCTCCCCCTCCACTTCCTCCTCCTCCTCCTCCTCCTCCTCCTCCTCCTCCTCCTCTCCTCCCCCTCCCCTTCCTCCTCCACCTCCTCCTCCTCCTCCTCCTCCTCCTCCTCCTCTGCATCGCATCAACGCCATAGGGAAACCGAAGGTTGGTCTAGCGTGCAAGGAAGAGGAGGAGGAGGAGGAGGAGGAGGAGGAGGAGGAGGAGGTGAACGTGGAAGTGGACGCGGGCATCGGGGCGATCGCTCGACGCTGTCCGCGGCTCGAAGCTCGAGGGTGGAAGCGGAGGAACGTTTGGGGGAAAGGAAGATGAGGAGGAGGAGGAGGAAAAGGAAGAGGAGGAGGAGGAGGAGGAGGGAAAGAAAGGAGGAGGAGGAGGAGGAAAAGGAAGGAGGAGGAACGTTTGGAGGAAAAGGAGAGGAGGGAGGAGGAGGAACAGGAAGAGGAGGAGGAGGAGGAGGAGGAGGAGGAGGAGGAGGAGGAGGAGGAGGAGGAAGGAGGAGGGCCAGCGAGCGAAACCCTGCGATCCTATGTCCGCCCTCTGCGAGCGCAGACGCGCGTCGGACACCAAGTCACTCAAGCAAAGGAGAGAAATTGGGGGAGGAGGAGGAGGAGGAGGAGGAGGAGGAGGAGGAGGAGGAGAAGGAGGAAGAGGCTGAGGTGGAGGAGGAAGGGGAGGAGGAGGAGCAGGAGGAGGAGGACGAGGAGGAGGAGGAGGAGGAGGAAGAGGGGGAGGAGGGGGAGAGGAGGAGAGGAGGAGAAGAGGAGGAGGCGGAGGAGGAGCAGGAGGAGGAGGAGGAGCAGGAGGAGGAGGAGGAGGTGGAAGTGGGGAAGGAGGACGAGGGCGAGGGGCCCGGCCACCTCCTCTGGGCCGCCGCCCCGGGAAGGCCTGGCGCCTCGACGAGTCCGTCACGCGGGACGCGCTCCTGCGGGGCTTCTTCTGCTTCTACGCCGACGAGTTCCGCTGGGGCGAGGAGGCGTTCTCCGCCCCTCCTCCTCGGCCCCGCGGCAGTTCCCGGCTTCGAGAGGGGGGGGGGGGGAGGTCCCCGGGCTGTTTTCGTTGTTTCGGCTTCGAGGTGTTCGGTCGTTTTCGTTGCCACATGGTGGCGAGACGGGAAAAATCACAGCCACTGCTTCTTGTATGCGCCGCCTCCCAGCCTGCCGAAAAAGAAGCAGTGGTTGCGGTCAGTTCCCTGGTGCCAAGCTTAACGAAAATGACCACAACCACTGCGGTCGTTTTCACGTCCCGTAATGGTGGCTTTCCGCCCTCGGGGTGCGTTCCAGCGGCTGCGGCTCGCTGAGAGCGTTCCGGGGGAGCCCGGATATCGTCCCGACCGGCCACCGGGCCGAGTTCTGTCCCAAGGACCGAATTTGGGTGGCGTGCCCGAGCCCTCGAAGGAGGCCCACCCCTCCTCCTCCTCCTCCTCCTCCTCCTGCTCCTCCTCCTCCTCCTCCTCCTCCTACTCCTCCTCCTCCTCCTCCTACTCCTCCTCCTCCTCCTCCTCCTCCTCCTTCTGCTCCTCCTCCTCCCTCCCTCCTCCTCCTCCTCCTCCTCCTCCTCCTCCTCCTCCTCCTCCTCCTCCTCCTCCTCCTCCCCCTCCCCCTCTCAGGACCTCCGATGCGCCGTCGCTCTCAGGAGCCTCCGGGGTCGTTGCCCCGCCCCGGCTGCGCGGGAGCGAACGGGCCGCCGCGCCTCCGCACCTCGAGGGGAAGGCTCCGCGGGCGGCTTACAGGAGGTAATCGGGGACCAGCTTCCTCCCCCTGGGCTCGCAGCCGACAGATGCCGTTCGCTTCTGAAGGATTCTTCAGGGCCCCCCAGTCGTCCAAGAGCCCAGCGGCATCACCCCACCCACGGATCTGCTTTTCGGGGCTCTCGATGCCTCTTCCAGCATCCGCCGGCAGGAGGACTGCGCGGCCCTGCCTCCCCGTGTGCCCCGCGCCCTCGAGGGTGCTTTTCCTTCTAGGCTTACAGTATTGCCTTCGTACCGTCGGCCCCGATCAGCAGGTCGACCCTGCCAAGTCAAGGGTGCCCTTGTGTCCTGGGTCTCGCGGCCCATGCTTCCTACATTCCTGTGGCAACGTGGCCCTCGGAAGGGTCTTGTGTCCTCTCGCGTGTCCTGTCCAACCAAGTCCGACTGCATGATTATGCTTCTGGCAACTATATTACGATTGTTCCTGTGAGCGCTATTATGATTCACCTTTCTTATTACCACCGTTCGTATTATGATCCGTATGCTAATGATTCGTAATACGACCACCTAGTATTGGCACACTAACTATAACGATAAGACTAATCATGCATTTTCGTATTAGTAGCCTTCGTATTAGTAGCATTCACAGTCTGACTATTCTGACTCGCTTTATCATCCTTATGTTTGTTCTAATTATTGATATGATTGAATCGTTTCGCTCATTCCGCCGGCCCATTTCGCATGACTGAGCCTCTTGGGGCCGCTGGGGGGCCTCTTCAGCGTCGCTTGGGGGCCTCCTGAGGGCATCTTGGGGGTTTTCGGGCCTATCAGGGGCCTCTCAGGGGCCTCTTGAGGCCTCCTGGGGGCTTCCTAAGGCCGAGGGCTCGAAGTTTTGTTTTATGTTCCCCCTTTGGGGCATCGCTTGGGGCCCTCTTGGGCCCCTCTTGGGCCGTCTTGGATGCCTCTGGGGCCGTCTTGGAGCCCTCTTGGGCCATCTTGGGGCCTTCTTGGGAGCTTCTTGGGCCCTCTTGGGGCGATCTTGGGGGCCTCTTGGGCCGTCTTGGGGCGTCGGGAAGCCGAAAAGATGGACACGCCAAAATCTGCCCAAAACCTAAGGAAAAGTAATGAATTTTGCCTCTTGGGGCCCTCTGGGGAGTGCTCTTGGAGGCCTCTTGGGGCGTCTGGGGGCCATCTTGGGCGTCTTGGAACGATCGTGTGGCATCTCGGAGCACTCTTGAACCATCTTGGAGGGCTCTTGGCGGCCTCGTGGCCCTTCTTGGGGCTCTCTGGAGGGCCACACGGGCGGCGCCCAGGACGAAAACCATCTCTGACCCGACCCTGCCGGGGATCGCCCGGGGTACTTTTCGTCCGGGGACCCCCAGGGGCCGCCCCGCGCGCGCGAAGTAGAAGTATTATTTAGCAGTTACCGGAGATCTTAGCACGCCTTTGGCCCGTTGGGCCGGCGAATTCGTCCCGGGCTCTCGCGGCGTGCTGCTCGAGTTGGCCTCTCCCCTTGTTTCTCGTAATCCTGCCATGGCGGGTGAGCCTTTCTCGCTGCAGCGGTCCTCGTCGTAGGGCTTCCACGGCATGTCGGTCCAGAGGTTTCTCCCGCCCTTGCGGCGAGCGGGGGGGGGCTCATTGCGGCGTTGCCCCCAGGCGCCGAAAACATGAGTGTTGTCACCGAGCAGGTTCGCGATCTCATCAAAATTGTGGAAGAAGCCTCGCCACCCACACCCTTGGGTTTGAATGGTTCAAGGGTCAGATGGGCACCACCAATGCGAACAGCGAGTGCATGCAAGCAGACTTCCTTCAAATGACGAGGATCTGGGATGAGACGCTTCAGGAGATGAAGATGTGTCACGATGAGGTTGTACATAAGGTCGCCCCGATCAGGGCGTGGGGCTTCGGGGTACTTCGGGCAAGTTTTGAAGTAAGTTCGCACCCCTTCGTAAGATGAACTCGCTTGCTGTTTCGACTCGTGCAGGCCAGGGCTCGGATCTCGGAGATGATGGCTTCCCTTGGCGTATGGTGATTCGAAAGTCGGGATCATATCAGGGAAGTGCGGGCCGTTCCGTTGAACTTGGGTGCCAGGATGTTTTTGCCGGAGGAGCATCTGGAAGCGTCGCTCCAGTCCACTACTTTGCCGTGCAATTCCGTGGGACAAGAACCAACCCTCCATTCTTGTTTTCTGGTTCGCAAGGTGATCCTCGATTTCCCTTCCAATCTCTCCTGATTGTTTCCTCCCAGCCGTCCTGTGGTGCTGGGTCTTCGTTCTCAAGAGACATCACCCCGCGTCACTTGACCTCCCTCCTCCTTCCCCCCATCCCTGCCTCTGCCCTCGGCATGCTCATCTCGGCACACCCTCACACGCTTCGCAGCCCCATGGGGAGCTCCCACTAAGGCCCGAGGGTGTGGGACCACATACGGTCCCCCAGCCATTTCGACACACCCCTCAAAAGGTTTCGTGGCCAACTGGGGATACCCCAAGTAAGGCCCTAGGCGGGGGGACCACCATGGGGTCCCCCAGCCGTTTCGGAACGCTTCTCTCTCGTGGCCCCATACGGATTTCCAGCTAAGGCCCCAGGCGGTGGGACCACGTGCGGTTCCCCAGCTGTTTCGACGCATCCCTCACACGCTTCGCGGCCCCAGGGGGAGCCCCAACTAGAGCCCCAGGGGGGGGTACCGCATGCGGTCCCCAGCCCATTTCGGCGCAACCCTTACACGCTTCGTGGCCCAATGGGGGGGCCCCAATTCGGGCCCAGTGGCACAGTTCGCATGCGTTCCCAGACCTATTTCGGCACACCTTTCACACGCTTCGTGCCCCCCATTGAGGGCTCCACCGAAGGCACTAGTGGTAGCCCGCATGCGCCCCAATGCCTATTTCTGCATACCCCCCACACGCTTCGTGGCCCAATCGGGAGTCCCACCGACGGCACTAGTGGCAGCGCCCGCGTGCGTCCCCAGGCCTATGTCGGCACATCCTTCACATGCTTCGTGGTCCCATCGGGACTTCCACCGAAGGTCCCGGTGGCAGGACCCGCATGCGCCCCCGGGCCCATTTCGGCACACACACACACACCTCACACGCTTCGGTCCCAGAGGGAATTCCAGTGAAAACGAGATTCGCAAGTGCGGTACTCACAACTGTGTATGGTCGGATCCTTCGCCAGGATGTTTTGTGCGAGGGATCTCAGACCATCGACAAGACAACGCATCGCAATATCATTGACCAACAGCTATGGGAGCTCAAGGTGCGTTGCGACCTTCTGCCTGGCAGTCGTAGCTGGTTCTTACCTTGGCAGGACTCGCGCAATTATCATGAAAGTCTTGTGAGAAGACCAGTTCGGTATCAATATTTTGGTGGGCAAGTATATGTTCTTCATACCCCGCGGCAGCCCGTGATCCTGGCGAAGGCTTCTATATAAGAAGAAGGTGCGCCTGAACTGTCTGTGAGCTATGTTGGCTTCGCGGCTTTCGGGGGGGTGAGCACAGCATTCGGCTGCGTTCAGGCGCTGTCTAGTCAAACTCGCCCCTGCGTCTGAGGATGCGAGCTGCCTAGGGATTTCGGAGTCTGGGCCTTGTCCGTCCATGATGCCAGACAACTCTTGCATCCTGCCTCCCCTTGGGACCAGGCCTGGCGGGGCGTCTGGGGCGGCCCGCCCTGCCGTCAGCTCGGTTGTTCCGCCAGCCAACCTTTCTTCGATGAGCAGCTCGTTTGGGGGTAGTTTCGGGGTGGAGACACTCGATGAGTAGCTCGTTCTTCGATGTCTTTCGATGATGAGTAGTTTCTTCGATGAGTAGCTCGTTCTTCGATGTCCTTTTGACCCGTCACTGGAGACAACGGGGTGGTTCCTCCGCCTGCTGGTTTCTCGCCCTGCACTTGGATTCGGCAGCGAGCCCCGGGGAAAATGAGAACGGGCGGGCCTTCTCTGGGACGTCCCCTTAAGCTCTCCGAGCAGCCTTCTAAGCCTCCCCCCGAAGACACAGAAACACTGCCAGAGGGCCCCAGGCCCTCTGAGAAGACCCGCCGAGTTTTGAGAGGGCCTTCTCCTTCTCACTCCCCCCCTCGGCGCGCCCCCCCCTGGTCGCAACTCGGCTATCCGGTGGCCGCTCGGGACGATCCGGGCACCCCGGGGACGCTCGCAGCGAGGCGCGCTGCCGCCGGAACGCAGCCCGAGGGCGGGAGAAAAGCCGCCGCGAAGCGACGCAACCGACCGAACACTCACCAGAGCCAAGAGTACCACTACCACCAGCTAGGGGGGGGTGGCTGTCCCACCCCTTCGAGCTGGTGGCACCTCGTTCCGGGCATGCCTCCAGAGAGTTTCCCGAAGGTGGTGCCACCAGCTCGAGGGGAGGGAGCGGCCACCCCCCTAGCTGGTGGTAGTGGTACTTCTGTCTCTCCTGAAACACCTCGAAGCCGAAGCCACGAAAGCCGCCCGGGCACCTCCCCCCCTCTTAGGAGCCAGAAGCTGCCGCGGGGCCCGCCGGAGAGAAGACGAGCATCACTCCTCGGCCTGCCCCTCGACTCTCCCCTCCCTGCCCCCGTGCCCGGCGCCGCAGAGGCTGCTGCTAGGAGAAGGAGGAGGAGGAGGAGGAGGAGGAGGAGGAGGAGGATGAGGAGGAGGAGGAGGTGGAGGAGGCGGAGGAGCAGGAGGAGGAGGGGGGGGAGGGGGAGGAAGAGGAGGAGGAGGAGGAGGAGGAGGAGGAGGAGGAGGAGGAGGAGGAGGCGAAACGTTGGGAACGTTGGGGTGAACGACGGCGAATGTGGAAGCTCCTCTCGATTAACGATGGCAGCAGCTCTGACCGACTTCGGCGGACCGCTGGGGTGGGGGTACTCCCCCCTCTGAATTCTCGCCAAATTCTGCCTTCCTTAGCTATGGGGAGGCCGCACAACGAAGCCAAATGCCTGGGGTCAGTCGTGGCTGTACGACGGCACTTGGAACAAAACGTCAGGTGGAATTGCCCCCAATGCTGGAGGGAGTGGCAATCATGCAACACCTGGCCCCCAATCACTCGCCTCCCGAACAAAGGGGCTATACCGAGCTGGGAGGCGGCCTGGGTACAAGTCCTATAAGCAGCCAGGAGGACGCGCTCTCTGTTCAAGAGAACCTGGCAAACCCTGCAGTAAAACTTGGAGCCGACCCGTCGCCAGTCGTGCTGGGACGCTCTCAAAGCCAGCTCGAGCTTGGGGGGGCGGTCGGGGCGGGGGGCCGAGGGACGCACCGCGGTCCACGGGTCGGCCTGGATCACATCCGCCAGCGCTCGCCGCGCCCGCCTCCTCACTAGAAAAGCTTCGATGTCCCGCTGGTCCGTGGCGGGACTGGCCGTGACGAACTCGGACCAAGACCCCGCGGCCGCTCTGCCGGCCAGCTCGTCCGCACACGTGTCCAGCAGCACGGGGAGGCTGGAGGAGGGTGCCCCTGCTCGGGGCCTTTGGGGCCCCAGGGCGGTCCGGCTTGGGCGACGTGGCCGTCAGGGGCAACGCTGGGGAGGGGATACGATCAATCGCCCGTGGATCGCCGACAGATCGGCAGCAAGTCATGGGAGCCTGGTGTGCCCTCTGAATTCCGTCTTTGGCGTCGACTCGCGTCGATTAATTAGCGTCTGGGAGTCGATGCAATGGCGCCGATTCAGGGTCGGGGCGCCCGATGGACGGCCCACTCCCGCCCAGGAAGGCGCGGACTCGCCCCTGGTGGCCTGAGGCCGATCTATCGGCGACGCCCTGCCCACTTCAAGTCTACCTGCGCCAATCCCCCCTTGCGTTGCCACTCAAGGGGGGCGGTGCTTGGGAACCCGCGGTCTGCTGCTGCTGCCGGCAGCCCCTCTCACCCCCCGGTCGCCCCTCTCGTGGAGGACGGGGAGGAGGAGGAGGAGGATGAGGAGAAAGGGAGGACGAGGAGCAGGAGGAGCAGGAGGAGCAGGAGGAGGAGGAGCAGGAGGAGCAGGAGGAGCAGGAGGAGGAGCAGGAGGAGCAGGAGGGGGAGCAGGAGCAGTAGCAGGAACAGGAGGAGGTGGAGGAGGAGGAGGATGAGCAGGAGGAGGAGGAGGAGGAGGCGGAGGATGAGGAGGAGAAGGAGGCGGAGGAGGAGGACGACGAGGAGGACGAGATCAGGATGAGAAGCAGGTGAAGGAGAAGGAGGAGGACCATGAGCTCACCCAGTTCAGGCTCCCAGCACGCCTCAGAGCATGGCTCCAGTGGAGCATGCGAGGTATTCCCCACTGTCTCCTTAGCCCGTGAGGATCGGGACCGCAGGATCGCAGTCGCTCGCGGAGGTGGAGGAGGACCAGAGTAGGCTCAAGGATGGAAGGTGGAGGAGGAGGAGGAGGAGGAGGAGGTGGAGGAGGAGGAGGAGGAGGTGGAGGAGGAGGAGGAGATTGATAGATGACCTTCACGCCAATGTTTCCGGCACGCATGCTGGTTCTGGTGTGCCCCCCCCGACCAGGTGGTCTCCGTGCGCTGTGGCCGCCGCCTCCTCCTCACGGAGCCCTGCTTCGCGAGACTGCAGCCCTGCAGGGACGAAGGCCGCCCCGCCAGTGCCCCTCCGCTCGCTCTGCCGGTGCGTACTCTTACTCGCTCAGTCAAAACAGATGCCCAATCCCTAAAACGCGAGGGCCAAGACAACATGCAGGCTCCTCGAGACTTCGGGGAGGGAGATTTTGGGGTAGGGTTTTACCAGGGCGACGACGACGAAGGCAAAACATACCCCGAAATCTTTGGCCGATCTTCGAATCCTCGGTGAATCCGCGATTTTGGGATTGGGGATGTGTTGTTTCGTGGTCACTTACGGACCGCCGTCGGGAGGGCGACAGTGCCCTGACATAGGTTTCCATTTTTGGAGCCGATGCGCCAAACTGTTGTGAGACGTGGGCCACGACGTCGAAGGCGATGGCGACGGCGGTGCGTTGTTTATCGGGGCCGCTCATCTGCCTCAGATAGGCTGACGGGCCGGTGATAATTGAAAGTGGTTCGTCAAGGATTTGGATGGCGATGGGCGGGCCCTGGAACACTGTATACTCCTACGACCGGGTGCACAATGATTGCCTCGAAAGTGTGTGTGTGTGTGTTTGTGCGTGTGTTGGTTCATCCATGCGTTAACGGAGGGCAGCATCATTGTTAGCCCTTGTGCGCCCCTACACCTTCCACGCAATCTCCACCTCTTTCCCAGCAATGGGGACATTCCTTGATGTGGGAATCAGCCCTGCGAATTTCATAATTCCTTGTCTTCTGAACGCTAGTCTTCCTCATCCTTCTCCTAGGCATCCTCGTCGTTGTCTTTTTGTTCGACGTCGTCGTCGCTTCCTCTCCCGATCTTTGCCTTTCATATTTTGAGATCGCTATTTCTGCCCAAGAGGTTCTGTATCAGAAGCGTGGTTGTTACGCGATTGTGCCAATGATCGGTTCTGTTTCGTTGCTGCTTTGCGGCGCTGCTCGGAGAAATGCGCCCGCTCATCGCTCGCGTCGCAGAGGCGACGCTGACGACAAAAACGAGGAAGCAGGAGGAGACGGCACACGAGGAGGATGGGGAGGAGGAAGAGGCCGAGGGACGGTGACCGCTGTGAGGGCGCGAGGAGACGGGGAGGATGGTCGCCCTGGAGTGCACAGGAAGCCTGGGGTGCGGTGCACCCTCGCCCCTCTTCGTCCTTCTCCGTCCTGCCCTTCGCCATTTCCCCCGCACTCCCCTTTTCGGCGTCACCCCAACACACCAACGCTACAGTAGGGGTCTTGAAGAAGGAACCCTTTTGGTTGGGGAGGGGCTCCGTGTTCCTTAAGTGTTTCACAGCTTGCCTCAGGTTTTCCTTATGTTTTCGACCGGAAATCGAAGGTTAACTTATGGAAGAAAGGGTCCTCGTTCCTTATTTAGGGTTCCTTAGGTCAGCGCCCCGACTGTATGTGCAGCTCCGTGGCGGGTGCTCTCTGGCCACATCGCTCGGGTAACGAGACGCTGCAAGATGGTCATACACTATATGTTCGGGCCGGGCGCACGCCTCCAGGGAGGACATCGTACTCGTAGGCCCTCGTCTGGCCCATCTTACCCCCTCCCCTCGTCAGTCTCTTTCCTCCTGCGCCTTCACATGACCTTGCCCCCTCGTCGTCCTCGGCCTCGCGGTCTTCCTTTAGGATTTTGCGCTCTCGTCATCTTCCGTCTATCCCACCTTGCCGTCGTCCTTATCCTCATTCTCTTCGTCGTCATGGCTCTATCCCCAGTTCATCGTTCTGCGTATCGTGATAATGTTGTGGTTCGTCGTCATCCTGCTTCCGGTTCGGGGGGGTACATTTCTGCTTCGGATACTCATCTGGCGGGAAGCGATTATGTTACAATTATGTGATTGCTTCTGCTTCTGCTGCTGATGCTGTTGCTTCTACTCGCTGGCTGCATGGAGCGCGCGTGCGTCGCCGCGCGGGCTCACTTGCGTTGGCGCGCCCGGCGCTCCGCTGCCCACGGCTGCCCACTGTTGATTTTGCCGTGGTCCGAAATCTGCCTTAATCCCGTTTAATTTGGCTTAATCCCGCTCCATCCGGCTTGATCCCGCTTGATCCGCGTCTTCATTTTGCGTAGTAGCCCCCTAATGGTGTTTGATTCCCCCTAATCCTTCCGTCGAAGACCTCCCAGTAGTTGCCTCCTATCACTCGTCGACCCCTTGACGGCCCAGTCTGGCCCGTGATGACCTGCGGCTGGCGCATGCGACCCACGGGCAGCTTGTGGAGTTTTGTTGTTGTTGCGGTGTATTTGCGTGGCCCATGAGGTGGGTTCGGGAGCAGGTTCTCAAGGATCGGGACACTCGTTACCGCTTGCAGGTGAAGTCCGAGTCAAGGATGGGCAAGGACTGGACTTCAGCAAGGTAGCGATGTTCGAGGAGGGGGGTTATTTTCTCGGGGATGCGCTCTGCTTGAAGCCCTCATCGGCGAGGGGCTCGGCCCTCGCGCGTCTTGCATTTGTTGGGGAGCACGTTCGGAGAGCGGCAATGGTTCACCAGGAGGTTGATTCCGCTGTGCTATTTCGTGTAATGCGCAAATAGGGCACCACACACGCCCACAAACACACTCGAGGAATTCAGGAAAGCGACGTAATCGCTGTTACGCACCCAATACGCCGCCTCATGGGCCATGGCACGCGAGCCGTCAGGAACGATTTTCGGACGATTCCCAGAGCTGCAACGGCGATCCTCAATTTTCCTCGTTCGCGAGGTAGTGTCTCTGCCCTCAGTCCGACTCTTCGTCAGGCAGCGGCCCCCGGATGCGCATAGAAGACCCGTTCATCGTCACGCGGAATTTGTGCGACGTGATGTCCGTGGCCAACGACCAGAAGTTGCGGAGTGCGTTGCGGACCGCGCGGGGGGTTCGGGAGGCGACGAGAGGGTTTGAACAGAACATGTGGTCTTACTTTTAGGTCGTGCACGCCCCTATACAGAATATTCAAGAACAGTCAAAATGAGTCAGGTGACGATTTATCGTGCTCTATTGACCCATTTTTGATTATCTCTTGACGATATCCTTTCTTCCAGGATCCGCCTGTAGGTGACATGCACGACCTAAACTTACTTCCGCCGCCTCCTCCTCCTTCCGGCAGTCGAAGAAGAACACACGTGATGAACATAATTCATCCTGGGAGCCATCTTGTGTCATTTTGAACCATCTTGGAAGTCACCTTGAGTTCTCTCAGGCCCTCTTGGAGCCATCTTGGGCCATCTTGGACGCTCTGACCGCTCGCGAAACCCCTTCTCCAGGTCCAGGGGAGGGGGTAGTGGGAGGGGTCAAGCTACCCTCCTAGATAGCAAGCCTTCTAGCTCACTCCCACCCGCCCTTCCCAACACATAAGTACCACCCGAACCTCAGCATGTTCAGCTGTCCTCTTTGGATGGACAGCTACCGGGAACCAACATCGAGCCCATGTGCGCGACGCTGGGGCGAGGTGCCCGAGCGTTCCAGGCACGCCTGGTGCGCCGGATGCGCCACGTGCCTCCGCGTGCGCAAGGTGTACCGCATACTCCAGCCGCGCCAGGTGCGCCACGTTCAGGGCACGTGCAGAGTGTGTCAGGTGCGCCTGCGCACGTGACAGCACACATCTTGAAAAATGTCGGCCCCAGCATCCTCATCGAAAGCCAATGTCCATCATTGTGTCTCTGTGGGCCCGCGCACAGCAGGCCATACGCCACCACCCCCGCCGTCCTTGTCAAAAACCACTTGGCAGTGATCGCAGGGTGGCCGCGCATGATCCAGATTTAGCCTTGAGGTGCATCTTGTATTGTTTTTTTTATGTCAGGGATGGTAGCCCTGCGCACAGCAGGCAATATGCTGACACCCCCGCCGTCCCTGTCAAAAAACAACACAAGGTGCTCGCGGGCCTCACGAACATGACTCCAGACGTTGCCCCAAAGTGTACTTTGTATTGCTTTTGACAGGAATGGGGCGGGTGGGGCGGCCGCATCGGGTTGGCCGCGCATGTTCCAACATGTGGAGGCAGAGTGCGTTTTGTGTTGTTTCTGGTAGGGACGGTAGTGGCCGCCGCCTGGGGGAGGGGGTGTATATCCTATAGGGAGCAGTGAGAACCGCCCCCCCCCGAAGGGGAAGAAAGGGGCTGGAAGAGAAACCGGGGGGTACGTGCGCCGAGTTTTCGCCTTGCGTTCGCCCGTGGGCGCATAGTGGGCGCCCAGCTCTCCTCCTCCTTGTCCTCCTCCTCCTCCTCCTCCTCCCTCCTCCTCCTCCTTCCTCCTCTTTCTTCCTCCTCTTTCTTCCTCCTCCTCCCTCCTCCTCCTCCTCCTCCTTCCTCCTCCTCCTCCTCCTCCTCCTCCCTCCTCCTCCTTCCTCTTCGCCCAGAGAGCTGGTGGGACTCTGCGGAGGCTCGCGCGGGTGCCTGCGGTCGGGGCCGGGCCTTCCCAGCAGCTTCCAGCGCCGCCTTGGGCCACGCTCCGCGCGCCAGGGGGAGGAGGGCTAGTAAAACGACGCGAAGATCGGGACAAAATCGGATCGGGATAACTCGAAGTCTCTGAGGATCGGCGGGTTTGGAGGATGTATTGGGCGCCGCGGCCGCTCCAGAGCGTTCCGGAACGCTCTGAGAGTGCTCCGGAACGCTCGGGAGCGATTTATCCCGATCCTAGCCCTGTTTTATATTTGTCTTATTCATTGTTTTGCCGATCGGCGCGGGCCCTCGCACCCCGCATCCCCCCCCCATGAAGTAGATCTTGGCTGTTGTTGGCGCCTGTTTCAAGCAGGTGGAGTCTCCAACATAGGACACACTGTTGCAAACAGTCGCATTAAGCAGAGGTCCAAAGCCATCCAGAGACAGACCCCCCCTTCCGCCCAATGCGGAAACGCCGAGTAACAAAACGTTTACTTCATTGTGTTTATATGATGAACCCCAGATCCTTTGTGGAACGTTCAGGACATCAGAGGTTGGGGGCTGATACAACCGTCACTTACGTTGCATCTTCGGGGGACCTCGCTTGTCCCCAAAGCTGGTGTCTTTTTGTCTGCCCGACGCGGACTTGACGCGGATTTGCCGTGGATCCGACGCGGATTCGACGCGGATTCGACACGGATTCGGCACGGACTCGACGAGTCCGACACGGATTCAACACGGATTCGACGCGGATACGGCCGCGACGGGACAGACAAGGTCCCTTCGAGGATGCAATACAACATCACATTCAGTCTCTCTCGCAGCATCACAGCAGCGAACTGAAGCCACTGCAGCGTGGCTGCTCGCAGCTCGGACGCCCCACCCTCCCAGGGGTGCCAGCAGATTCTGGCCGACCGTGCGCCGTGCCGTCCGAGCGACCGTGCCCCGAGGCACACCGCGGAAGGCACATTCAGCGCCACTCGAAGTGCTCTTCTGGTCTGCCCTGTCTGACGAACGAACAACACACACCCATACCCATACAGAGGTCGTTGGGAGGAGGACTGGATATGGGTATGGGTGCGGGTTGTCGGACCCTGGGGAACGCTCCCGTTCGAGCGGGGACCCCCATCCGACAACACGCACCCATAGCCCTCTCCGATCCCCCTATGGGTATGGGTGTGTGTTACTGGTTCGTCACTGTCGGCATCCGAAGAAGAAGAAGGAGGATCGGAAACTGGAACGTGGACATTACCAGTGGCGGGCTGTTTCTTGAATCCCATGACTTTTTGAGGGTCGGGGACGACGCTGGGGTGGTGTGGTGCATATTCTCTCCCCCGACGCCCTGGGAGAACCACGAAAAATGTATACACCAGCATCCCGTATATACACCCGAGTCCGCGTTCCTGTGCGAATTTCAGCGCAGGGCCGGGAAGAGCGTCGGTGTATATATAGAGAGTTCGTTTCCCCGGAGCTTGGCATCGCTCGGGCCTGTGCACTTTTTTCTCGGCGAGAATCATCGAGGACCATCCTGGACCATCGAGAAACAAAAACAAAAAACAAAAAAAAACAAAAAAACAAAAACAAAAAAAAAAAAAAATGCACGAGGCCGACAAGTGCACGGGAAACATGGACGTCCGCGCGACGGCGAGCAGAGGAGGGTACGACTGCGCCGTCGTGTCTCTGCGGAGCTCCGCGCCGCGCGGAGCTCCCGGACATAGCCGCGCCGCGGCGCTCCGCGCGCGGCGCCCTCTCGGCCCCGGCGCCCGGGCGCCCGCCCGGGCGCCAGGGAGTCGGCATCGCTCGGGCCCGCCAGGGCCATCAGGAGAGGAGGCGGAGGACTCAGAGGACGACGACGACGACGACGGCGACGACGACGACGACGACGGCGAGGGCGAGGTGCATGGAAGAGGTGGAGGGTGGGCACGGGGAGCAGAAGGGGGAGAGGCCGGGGGGAGGCGCAGGCGGAAAGGGGGGACAAGAGGGAAGTGAGGGTGTGCCATTTTCGTGGCATCGCTCGGGCGTGTGCCGTTCTTTCTCGGCGAGAAGCATCGAGGACCATCCGGGACCCTCGAGCAAAAAAGACACGCGCGCAGCCGACAAAGGCACGGGAAAGGGACGCCCGAGCGACGGGGAGTTTTTCCTTCGTCGAGCAGTGGCGAAGCGTCCCAGCTCGCCGATGGCCCTACCGAGCAATGTTCTAAGAACCTTTCTGTGTGGTTTCCACGAAGTGTTCTTGGAATCTCGACGCCCGAAATGGGCACTGAAGGAATGGGCAAAATGCCCAACAGCAGTTCCTGTTCATTTTGAACAGGACTCGCAGTCCGCGCCGCCGCAGCCTGTGCCCATTTGGGACAGAAGGCCGCCCGCCGAACAGCGGCCGCTGTTGGTTTGGGACAACATTTGTTGTTGGGCATTGTACCCATTTTTTCAGTACCCATTTCGGGCGTCTAAAAAGCAGTGGCGAAACGTCCCGGTTCGCCGATGGCCCTACCGAAAACAATGTTCTAAGAACCTTGTGTGTTTTCCACGAAGTGTTCTTGGAACATTTCTGGCCGGGGCGTTTTGTCTTAACACATCGGGATTATGTTCTAAGAACCTTGTTTTTGTTCTTAGAACATTTTTGAGTTCTAAGAACATTTCGCGGTAGGACTATAGGAATGCAGGGACGGTCGGTCCTTGCTCAATTTCGGCGAGGACCATCGAGGACCATCGAGGAGCATCTTTTCATTTGGCGAAAAAACCACGCACGAAACCGAACAAAGCACAGGGAATGGACGTCCGAGCGATGGCCAGGAGAGGGGGGGTCTACCGCGGATGCAAGGAGACCGCGCGGACCGTCGGAAGCATGTGTTCATGCAGTGCTTGGCTTCTCTGGTCCAAGGCGGTTTACAACGGATTCTTGGCCGCACAGGAAGCCTCGACGACTGCCACTCGTCCGGCACAAGAGGCGCCGAGATAGCTCGCAGAACGCCTCCGAGAGGCGGCGTTTATGCACATTCATGGCCCATAAAGGGTGAAATGCATGTTTGTTACTCCGACGGCTCCAGCTCAGGATGACTTCGAGACGGGCCTCAGAGGCCTCCGGCAAGGTCCAGGGGGCTCGCCTGATGATGGACCCAAGAGACGTTTCCCCGTTCTTCGCCCTCCTGCTCTTCCGCTCTCTCGCCCCTCCCTCGTGGAGGGGCCACAGGGCGCGTGTGCCATGTGTGCTCCACGCGCAGGTTGTCTGTGCAAGGGCCTGGTGCACGTGCAACGCCGCGCGAGGGAGCCATGACCCCCGACGTCGGTGTCCCGTCGTTGCCCAGCACCGCAGCCTCGAGTCGGGCAGGTCCCTCGACAGGAGGCATCGTCAAAGCATAGTTATAGAAATCGTATGGTTTTGCTATGTTTGACAATTTTTGGGGTATT